TCAGTCAGTCAGTCAGTCAGTCAGTCAGTCAGTTGGTCAGTCAATAAGTTGGTCAGTCATTAAGTTGGTCAGTCAATAAGTTGGTCAGTCATTGGTTATTCAGTCAAGTCAATCAGGTTGTCTTTCCATCAAAATCATCATTCTTATATCAAGTACAGCTAGGTTGGTCAAGTACAGTCAGTTGGTCTGTATGACTGTATGTCATGCTGTGTCCTGTCATGCTTTTTTCAAACCCTTTTCAAATCCAAATAATACAATTCCCATAACAAAACTTCAAAAGTTGCTTTATAAAATACTTACTGCAACATTTCTGACTTGCTGGCCAGCAAACCATCTCAGTGTTTCTAGAATCGCTGAATACGTTCTGGTCTGGAATTCTAAAAAAAAGACATATTTGCAATGACAATACTTTGCATCCTTAATTTTGGGTTTAGCAAAAGACATTCTAGGTAAATTATAATTAGTCTGGCTGTGCATTGCCTGATGCACTGATTATTAGAACTTTTCCTGCTAATGAATTATCCTACCCAACCACTTTTGCTTATACAAGACAAGGTATCATTGAGGTGCACACATGTATTCTTGGCTTATTGATTAAAAAACTCACTTCAATCTGAAGGTTAAATAAAGCTGTGTAATAATTAGAATAAATTGCTGTTACCTGGCAAGTGTACCACATGATCGTTCAGCGTCTCCTCAATGGTTGTCAAAGTTACAGATGATCCAAAGGTCACACCTGTTTCTGTCTGTTGCACAACATTCAGTTCAGGGACGTGAGTAGATGCAATCAGGATCGGGTAATTCTGATTCTTGAATTTTGTCTCGATTCCTTGAAATCAAATAAATTACTATTTTAGGCCCATTCAGTTGTCAGTAATTTTATCCTTAAATCAGATATATCCATGTTTTTATACCTAATTCTGTATTTCCAACCACCAGTTTAGCATATGGGTAGGTATTCTTCAACTCGAGTAGTTCCTCTAGTGTTGAAGGTCTTATCCATGTTACATGATCACCTTTGATGTGCAGGCTGCGTGGCTGAGTAGCCTGTGGCAACTAAAATTGAGAACAAAGATAATAAAACCAACAAATTTACATGGGACTATAAGATGCATACACGATAAAATTATGGCAATACAAGAGATATATGAGAAATGACAATCACTGTTAACACTTGGTGACTGTTGACACTCATTATTTAGTGAATATGTGAGAAAGGGTAAAATAACTTCCACACGTTACCATCAGTTCTGGTGGAAAGATTGGCTCTTGTGTTGGATCCAAAGGGAGAAACTCTTTTGCATCAAACAGTGCCTCACAGTTCTGACAGAAGAATAAAAAAGAAACAAAGAAACAAACATTAAATGTTGATGTCAACCACATCTAGATAATGTTTTCTTTTACCAATTTTTACCAATTTCAGAACACACATTATTCGCAAGAGAATAGAATTCTTAAATCCAAGGTTTCTTTGTAGGTAGGTATCTACGTATAATTATTATTTCATATGTTAAAGCTGTAATTCCCTGATGATGGCTGAATGAGCAGAAGCATCATCTCACACATAGCCATTAAACAAGGAAATGATGCTCTTGGGAATGACACATGGTCGGTAATAGGAAAACATTGCAACATTGTGGGTACTGCTCACGGGGGGGGGGGGGGGGGGGGAGTTACTCTTACCCATTTAGGGTAGGGAAGTGCCGTTGAGCCCTCTGAACCCTGACCCTGTTCCAGAGTAAAATCACTGAAATTCATACCCTGTTCCAGAGCAAGATCGCAGAAAATCATACTTAGTTTCAGTATTGCGAAAATGGATACTCTGTTCCAGAGTGGAGAGAGCATGATTTCATATACCCTGCCCCAGAGCAAGTGCAATTTTATATACCCTGTTCCAGAGTAGAATCGCTGAAAACCATACCCTGTTTGGCGGAACGTCCCCGTACAGCGAATATAGGGGAGTACCCCCCACCCTGGGTGTTTATCACAAAGAAAACTACCCTCCATTTAAAGCAACTTACATCTCCATCTTCATCTCCATCCATAAGACCATTCATCTGCTGCATACAACATCCATTTTGATTACCACTGCCACCACAGCAAAACTCCTGGTCACAATAGAAAAGGTTCACATTTTAATTACACGTTTTTCCTCTTAATTTTTTATGTTAAATATACATTAATACTGTTTACTTTTGTAAATGTTTTGAAGCCTTCAAGAATGGGGCGATATCCTGTACATCTGCAAAGATTTCCTGAAAATCAAAAAAATCAATGATTTACAGGCGGACTGGTATGTAAAGATCAATATAGTCCTAGTTTACAAAGATCAGTGTGTATGAGTGTCTTTTTAATGCAGAAATGTCTAGAAGATAAATCAAAAAAGTCTTTTATTAATACATTTTAGTTACCTTCAAAAGCACTTTCCATTTGACTTTGAGTAGGCAGAGGGTTATTTCTCAAYAATGTATACATTGACATTACAATACCAGGAGTACAAAACCCACATTGGGATCCATGMGACTTGGCTATTCTTTCCTGAAAAAGAATTATCAATCAAACACATACAATAGAAAACCTCATACATTGAAATGATAACTAGCTGAACCATGAAATAACTGCTGTTACTGTACTTTATACAGTATAAAAAGGTACAGTGACAACATATATGCAACACTAAATCATTGTATTATTTTAATAATATGTGTAACTAGTATCACATCTTGTACATTCAATATTTATACCTGTACAGGGTGCAATCTTGTTTTAGTGCTACCAATCCCTTCTACTGTAGTTACAGCCATGCCATCAACAGAACACACTGGAGTAAGACAAGCATTTGCTGTAAAGTGTCTGTTTGTTAGGTAAAGAATAGAAATGAAGTTTTTTGATTTAATAACAATAATAACTGCTATTTTTAATCAAATGAAACTTTCCTACAGCCGTACATAACAGGATTCTTGCTTCATCTACAAGATTCAAGGACTTTTGAAGGAATTTTAAGGTCCAAAATAATGATTTTCAAGGATCAATTCTGGAATTTGTTTTTAACAATGTATAGGAACAACTAAAACCTTACTTTAAAGACTCATATCTTTACTATCACTTTTAAAAACCTTGCTTTGCTATTTTCAAGAGCTTTTCAACTGCACTTAGAAGTGGGTTTTAAATTCCAAGGCTTTTCAAGGATTTCAAGGAGTAGCACGAACCCTGAAATCATGACAGCTTACCAGGCATTAAATAGGAATTTTTATTAGCCTGCCATAGTAAAGGAGCATGGTAAAAGGAGGTCATTCCAGTAAATTTTGCATGTCATTTTATTATTTACTTTGCAGTGCATCGTTTTTTTTTGCCTGGCAAACCTGAAAGTTGGCCCATCATTTGGCCATTGGCAGGCCACTTTTTCAAGCCCTGGCTTCTGACATTGTTACAACTGCAGCTATAGACTAAATGTTGCATTGATGTTTGATGTTTTATATTTAAAAGCATATGACTAGATACTTACCAGTCCAATTAAGCTCGTCTAACTCACAAACATTAATACTCATAAATTAATGGACTACTTTATTAGATGCAATAAATATTTTTTTGCAGTGTAAAATGTACTTGTACTTTTTTTTGTACAAAAAAGGATACAATATCTTGTTGTGGCTGTGATCATATTTGGACACCATAACTGTACATGCTCCACATCCTCCTTCACTGCACCCTAGTTTTGTACCTGGTAACTTCACTGTTTAGTGTATTGTTAAGGAAGTAATAATTTTAGATGATAAAATGTACTGTAGCTCATAATTTCATGGAATGTGAACAAAACAAAACATGTTATACACATGCATGTTAACATGCTTACTGTTCTGTACTTGTATGTACTCCCAAACAATGTTCACTTTTTGATGACCACGAAAACATTTTTTTAAACAGATAAGTATTAGTAAAAACAATTTATTCAACACATTAAGTTTAAATAGAAATGATAGACTGGTAAGCCATATATTAAAAAATAAGTCTTTCCAACAATGACCTTCTTCCTGTTTATTCATGCTTTAATCTACTGTACCAGCCTACGCTTAAAACTTACGATAAAACACAAAAATATCTTGTACATGTACAATGCAAATCAAATCCTAGGTAATCTGAAAACGAAGGTTTGATATGTAATGCGTTACCCAGCTCTGGAAAGGAATGAAGTATTATGAATGCATCAATAACAATAAGATAGATAGAATATGAGTGTTTTTTTATTTCTTCATTATATTCGGACCCAATGACCCATATTTATCTCAAAAATCTTTGTCAACAAATTATCTGAGGGTTGTATGAAAATGTTAAACATCACGCAGAAGTTTATAAGGATACATGTGTTCCGAAGGAACTGAAGCAGTGTTGTTTCTGGTTGCACATTATTTCCTATGACCTACAAATGAACACATAAAAATTAAGACTTATAAAACTTTTATAAAATAAGTTCACTGAAATTTGGTTAGCACAGGTGGCATGCAGAAGCGTGGGAAGCACAGGTGGCGTGCGCTGCTCCTGCACCCCCGCTCACCAATGCAGCCCGAGTTCGAGTCCTGCCGATCTTGATGTCGTATGTGAGTATAGAGTTGTTTGTTGGTTCTCTCCTGTGCTTCGAGGTTTTTTCTCCAGGTTTTCCGGGTTTTCCTACCTCCTCAAGAATCAACTACTAAATTCCATTTCAATCTTTGGGCTTTCACCTAATTGGAGCCTGGCTCTGTTGTGATTGTCCCAAGCTGTAATACAACAGCTAAAGCTTACAGCATTTCTCAATTACATGCACGGAAATGTGAAAAAAAAATTTTTTCGGATATAATAGAGTTTTGGTGCATGCCAATCAAAGTGTTTCCCAGTATTGTTGGAAAACACAAAGCTTTTAAGGGCACATGCCTATGGAATGTCTTGGAAACGCAATGATTGATGTCCGCCAAAACCTGCTTCGTCATGATGGCAAATTGTACGATTTCGCACGTGATTGAGAAGCACTGTAATAGATTTTTAAGATTTCATAACTTAAGCTAAATTAACTTAGGCTGCGTTCATTATGTATACCGCAGGGGGGGGGGGGGGGGGGG